AAAAAGAGAGGGGAGCAAAGCGGAAAGAGCAAGTGGTGATAATAAGCAGGCTGAGAATTGGACATAGCAGTCTTAACAACACACTTTTAATTATAGGAAAAGATCCAACAGGTATGTGTGAACAATGTTAGGAGGTAGAAACAGCAGAACATATTCTTACAACATGCAGGACATTTATTCAGGAGAGACAAGAAATGATAACATAGTTACAAAAAAATAGGGCGGGTAGATAATATAGTCAAAAGTTTGTGGAGAGAGTGTGGAAGGCAGGAAATGGATATTTGTTTTTTGTGGGCGACTGATTAGATAGGCGGGTTTAAGAAACCTGAGGGTGGCAGTAATGCAACTCTATGGATGCCAACTGCCGTGAAAACCATCAAAGAGGTTGATGACGACATCTTTCTACACCGGAAGTGGTGTTTAGAGTGTTTTGAAGTTTGGCTTGAAAACAGATGATGGTTGATATCCATGCATTAAAGCTACAAGAGATTACAGTCTGAATTTGGTTAATATAGCGACAGCGGTCACCATTTAGTTACACTGACTGCGGCGACGACTTTTGACCAGAGGCTAGCTTTGTCAAAGCCTCGGCTTGTTTTCAGTAACCTGAAGCTAACGGTAACTTGCTGTCAGTTGCAGCATTAAGTTAACGTTAGTCGATTTCTGTTACGAGAGTTGTGTTTTATATGTAACAGTCATCTGTTGCAGATAAAGCTATCAGGTGAAATCGAAGAGAAAATGTCTGTTTTCGTGGGTAGCTAAAGCTTTCTTCAAGCAATGTATCTTTGAATTGTAACGTAACCAATGTAGCTGACGCTAAGCTAACTTAAGCCCTAAAGAGCTAACATTTTGTCGATATTTCATTGTGACAATATTTTAGGTTTTATGTACTGAAACACATACAGCCAGTAATACAAACAATAGAGGCAGTTTAAAGTAATGTTTGCTTACAGTATCTGAGTTAACGTTAGTGGTCTTGTGCTGAGAGGAGAGAAGGTGATGTCTGAGGTCAGGGTTAACCTGCATGAAGCAGAGGCAGGGACTTACCAGGATGGATCACCTCCTGACCCTGTGAAAGCTCCGAGCAGTGAAGCTTCTGTGCCTAACCTGCAAGGGTAAGACTTTCCTTTGTGCTTTTATTAAATGGCTGTTTATATCGCCATATGATATGAGATTAATAAGCAAGTCATATTGGTCTAATACTGCTTTCAGTCTTCCGCTTCCTGGTCACTCATCTTCAGCAGATGTTAGCCCCTCACCTTCTGCTGAGGCAAGTGGCTTGTTGTCACTACCATGGGAGATGGTAACCCACATTGCCTCGCACCTTCCTGCTCAGTGTGTCATCACGGTGCTGCCAAAGGTTAGTTTTAAAGTTGTTTTGGCCCATGACTTTCATAAAATTCCTTTGAAGATGTCTTATCATCTAATTTTTTTGCTCATTTGTGTTGCTTCAATCTAGATTACTAAATCACTATCTGATATCTTTCCCTGTTTCACTGTATACTCCCAAAGGTGACTACAGGAAAAATACTAGGGCTATTGATCGTCAATCAAGTTTGTTTTTAAAGCAGTTTTTTGCTTGACAAATTAAACACAAAAAAATTAGTTCCTTCTTAATAAAACATTTGCAAACCTGATATTTTAAAAGTATTTTAATTCCTGCGTTGTTTACATTCAGCAAGTAGTATTCTTCTTCCCTGTGTTTCTTTGTGCAGTACTGCCACCTGTACATGACTGGAATAGTATGAAACCATTAGCAGGAATATCTGTCATGTTTTCCTCGTGCATTTGCACATACAGGCAAACAAACTGGGGCACGACCACTCATAAATAATACTGCTCTGTGGTGCTACTAGAGGTCAGAAAGTCTACCGGGAACCTTTAAGACTTTATCAGTCCTGCAGATTTTGGACATTTTCTTGAATCCCTCTTTCTCCTCTTTTTAGGTCTGTCATGCATTGGGTAATGTGGGTAAGGACAGCACCGCTTGGCAGCTCCGGGCACGCAGACTAATAGGATCCAAAGCTGGCTTTCCAGTGGGGCCAAGGGAGGACTTTGACTGGCCTTCGGCTTGCGTGGAGATGGAGCAGCTGATAACCTGCTGGACAGGCCAAGCTCACCTCGTGGCCAGACAGACCCAAGAGGAAGAGGAAAGGGAACAAGTGAGGCAGCAGCAAAGGGCGGGGCAGGACGGGCAGCCAGAAGGACAGGAAGATCGTAGAGAGAATGAGGTAGAAGGGGTGGGAGTGGTGGCGCAGGAGGTTGCATATGGTGCTGATGAAGGGATGGAGGTGGAGATGGAAGGTGAGGATGGTGAAATGCAGCCCATCGTAGGTGGGAACCACCTGGCAAGACTAAGAGAGGAGTTGGAAGAAAGACTGGAGGATGATGCAGCAGCACTAATGGAAGAAGAAAGGAACCACAGGATGGTGTTTGATGCTGATGAGGGGCAAAATGGTGCTCTTAATCACCAAGAGGACTTGGCAGACCCCAGGAATCTGGGTAATGGAAGACAGGTAGATATGGAACAACGTCAACCCACCAGAAGTCCTAGCCCACCCCCAGCGCTGGAGTGCATCACCCTACCTTCAGGCCACATCGCCCAGGTCAACTCAGTCCTCCTGTTGGGTGGAGAGGGGACAGTTTGTGCCACAGGTTCCAGAGACTGGAATGTTAAACTGTGGGATCTACATGCAGACTCTGGTGGCAGGCTGCTGCACACATTGGGAGGGCAGGGTGACTTCAGCACCCATCGAGGCTGGGTCTGGTGCCTGGCATCTCAGGGACCTCTGCTGGCCTCAGGGGGCTTTGACAGCACAGTGAGGCTGTGGGACCTTCAAGCAGGTGGTGCGGAGAGGGGCCTGATCAGGGCAGGGGCCGCTGTCCTCTGCTTGTCTTGTCAGTCAGATGTATTGCTGGCTGGTACATTTGACAAGAGGGTCAGCATGTATGACACCAGAGGTAAGCAGGTGTAGCATATGACTTGGATTACAATTTAATGGCATAGTGTGATTAAAAAAAAAGTTCTATAAATCTGATGATAGAGGAGTGACACATGACTTAAAACCAGTGTTACACACTTCAACATTTATTTTATGTCTTTTTGTCTTAGCAGTTAGCAGCTATCAAAGAAATCACAAAGACAAATCACTTGGTTATTATTTTGTCCACAGCTGCTGAACCCCTGGTGAAAAGCCTCCGTCTCCACGGTAACGCTGTAATGTGCCTAGCTGCAGATGACAAGTACATCATCTCTGGGAGTAAAGACTGCACTGTGGCTGTCTATGACCGCAGGGCAGGCAAAGGCTTGAAGAGACTTCGGGTAGATGCAGACACACATGTAGTTTCTTTGGTCTGCGTTTGTGTGCATATATGCTCAGATACACCTGTACACCAAGACTAACTCTAACCAACACCTCCATTTCTAGCTGAGCTCTTACCTGCTGTCCATGAGCCACAGTGGCTGTGAAGTGTGGGCAGGAGACAACAGTGGCATGCTCCACTCCTTTTCCATGCAGGCGGGGACCTTAAAACCCCTGTCCCAGTTTGATGTGGGACACACAGCTTTGGTCACTGGCATCCACAGGTCCCCTGGAAGCCTTTACACTTGTTCATCTGATCGTACTGTCAAGGTACGATGAGGCAAATTCCTTGTTTCTTCACCTATTTAGCTGACCAGCTGTTACTGAACAGTCTTCAGTGGTAATATCTTGTCTCTATTGCAGGTACATATCCCGTGTGCTCCTCCAAGGACATTGTGCACACTGCATCACCAAGCTGGGGTCAATGGGGTTAGTACTTTTTACGACATCTTATAGACCATTAAAACGTCAAATTGTTAACCTTTTGAAGATGATGTTATAGCTTTATTATCTATTTGGTAAGATGACAGATACTTTTACCAACAAATAAATAACAAAGCAGATACAGTAAATAAAATGGACTTCTGCACAATGTCATAATCAGAACAGTATCTGCTGTCTGTGAGGTGTTTCTATGTTTGTAAAGATGTAATTAATTAATCTGGGCTCATTCTCATTTTTTTTCTCCCTCTCTCACACATACCTATACACCACCTGTCTCTGTCTTCACCTGTCAGCTAAGTGTGGATGCTGGAGTCCTTGCTGTAGCCTCAGGAGATGTGTGTGTGGAAGTCTGGAGGCCCAGAAACTGAAAAGGCAAGACCTGCAAGCTATGTGGCTAGACTTGAAAAGTAGGTGGAGACAAGAGATGAAGGTTATCAACATCATACTGGTCTTTAGCACTTTGGAATTTGAAATACACGGAGTCAACAACAAGTACACTAAACACTAAAAAAGGTAATTTGTGTTGGTTCACCCAAAAGCCGTGTAATTCCGTGTTTGATCTTATTCAGAGATTTATTAACAAACAGAGGTACACATATTTAACACATGAAATGTGCTTATTGCTAATGTTTGCCCCATGAACTTATTTGCAATTTTGTGCAAGTACTCAGAGCTGTTGATGTCACTGCACTTGAGAATGTTTGTTGTTTAATTGTTGTACATTCAAACTGTGGAAACTAGTTCATTGTGTTTACGTGCTCTCAAACTGAGTGAATCTGTTAAAGCAAACTGACATTGAACCAAAAGCATTAGTTACTTTTTTTTTGTGTCAAGCCCTCTGTGACACCAGTTGTATTTATAAAGCTATTTATTTGAACACAGCAATGCTAATGTATATAATCTTTTTTTGTAGGGATGTCTGCATATGCCTTGTATGTTTCTGTGTGTTAGTTTTAAAAATGTATAACAAATTGCTTGGATAAATCAAACTACAAATCATTTGCACAATACTTGACAGATGCATCCATTAAAACACATTGAAAGACCATTAAATGATTTAAAAATCTAGTTTCTGAAGTATTGGCTGGGTTTGTTCACTGACCTGTGGAGAGCAGGAACAGCTTTGAGCTGAACGTTTGCATTGGACAAAGCAGCTATTATCATTTCAAATAGATACCCAGTATATTTTACAAGTTACCCATGTAATTCTAAGGTTGAGATCAAAGCTTTTAAGGGACCTTGAAAATACTGTTATATAAAGGAGCAATATTAATTAAAGCCTGTCAGTGAAAAAATAAACAATTTACGAACATAAAACTATTATCTGTACTTTTCACGTTTCCCTCTCACCTACAGTATGCCCAGTGATGTCTTTAACATTGGCTTGGAACGCAGAGTCTCGGAGGAGGCGCTTTAAGGGAGAAATTAGCCTAGATGTAAAAAAATACTAAATGGTTTGTATTGTCCACATTTGACTGGAGAAAGTCTGTGGTTGCACTCTCAGACAGTAGTTGTCCATATGGCAGCTGGTCATCTCTACCCAGGACTGTCAGAGAAGCACACAGGTCTTCTTGTCTTTGAACGGATTGGACGAGGCGGCGATGCCGGTGAGCAGAGGGTCGCTGCGCCTGTGGTCCTGACAGTACCGGACCAAGTCTGCTGCTGTCAGGGAGATCTGCTGGGATAAAGGTGACCAGTATGTTGTTTCACAGGATTTCAGACATTGTAATACTGAAATAATAATGTAACAAACTATTTGACATTGGATGTTTATAAATAAATAGATGGATAATAGAGAGTCACGGAGCACATCAGTACACTGCATATATTCTGAACTATGGAAATCCTCAGCTGATCTTTAAGTGGTGCAGTTCAGGTATATGATGACAGAATGCATGTAGTTAGATTATTCAGATTCTTACAGACCTTGATTCTCTCCATGCTTGCCTCCACTCGAAGTTGATCCACCAGTTTTTGTGTTTGAACAACACTGTTGCTGCTGCTGCACATCTTTTCTGACATTTCCTTAAGTACAAAGACTGCAAGAATCCTGCTATTTGTAGTCAATATCCTTCAACACCAAAAAGAGCCGCAGGAAAGTTATGTATTTTACCGGGTCCAAAGAATCAGTTCAGGTTGTGCAGAAAAGAGAAGCTCCTGACTCTCCTTTCTCACCTATAGGCCTTACCCCTCTTTTTATTCACTGTTGGGGGCAGTTCAAAAGCTCTGTGATATAAAAGGTCATTCAACACAGGGTTGGAAATGTCACAAACATCACACATCACTTCACAGCCACCACTGATGAAACGATTATTGGCTAAGGCATTATGCTGTGTGTTAGGTATGTGTTTTGCCTTTAAGCCAATTGCACTAGTCACCTTTTTTTTTACAAAAGGTGATTGGCCAGAAAAGGGTTGTCTGTATATACAATAATTGAAAGGTGGGAAGACTTTCATTTGGTACATTCCTATTAAATCAGTGCAGAGAAGGCACTGCTAAAGGGGGTGTGACACTATGGTGAAGACATATAATGTGTTCCTAATAGAAAAACACTTTCACAAGGACAGGTATTAGGTATTTACAGTTTGTTTATTTAAGTGCTGTAAAGTTTTCAAGAACTGGGGATTGAGTATTACCATTGTTTCGGCATTCATACTGAATATTTTGGATGGAAATATAGTAATTTTTAGACCTAGATTTAGTTGAAATCTGCAGTTTCTAGTCACTTTGTGTGACATTTTACCTGCAGAACATATGAGCTTGTAAAATGCCACGCAGTGTATGAGCTGAAATAGCCAGCTGTATATGGAGCAATTTACACCACCTTTCTCCATCTCAAAGAGGCTACAAGGTGCAGGTTTGACCAGTGTTCTTGCCAAAAGCAACAAAAATGTAAAGCTGTGACAGACACCATTCTTCACAATGAGTGAGGTTAATACATGTGGTAAGTACAGTTCACTTCATATAATTAATACTAAATAACTACATACATTTTAATAGCAGAATATTGAGTTTTAATGGAATAATTTGAGTTCTTCTTGCACCACTAATTAAAAAATGCTTTATTAAAGTATTTAATTATTAGAAATAACTGAATATGGTAAATAGAAAGTAAAACAGAAATAATAAAATAATAAAATTGTGCATGTAATGTATGAACTATAATTTTGACTACATTACCTCAGTATAGTTTTTCAAGCATATACTGGCCTCCACGTGTAGGTAAATAGGATAGGACCAAATCACTATGGACTTCACACAGATACGATTTCATGCACACGATTGTGTTGTTGTAATTAATTGTTTACTAATGGGATTTGCGCGTAGTTACTGTTCTGTCATGTTTGTCCATTCACACTTTCCGTAGTGCAAACACGCTTTACAGCTGACCCATGCGTTGTCTGCAGAAATGCTAATTGTCAGTAACCGTCTTCATTGACACTTGATTACTACTTAACCATCTCCATCACTTAACGTCTCTTCAAAAAACAGGTACGTCTTCATCTTCATGTACTCATGAATAAAGCCACAACAGCCAAACATCAGCTCACTGTTAGCTTGTGTCCTAGCTAACATCAGACCACATTGATTCTGCGATGTTATCCTGCATTATGTTCAATTAAGTAATTCCCTGTCCAGGGGACCACAACGTACAGGTAACTGTTATTCCAAAATAGGTGAATCTTACAGCTGGACAACAGAGCCTTAACGTTTGTTTTCGGGTTTATGTTTTATGAGTTTCAGTGAATTGCTACTTACTGTTAAGTGTGTGTGTTGTTTTTTTTGTCGCAAGAAGTTAGCTGTGCTAGCAAGCCACACAGTTTTCAGTTACAACAGGACTGTCTTTAGTTTTTATGCCATAAGACAGTAATAGGCAAATAGTGGCTAGTGAGCCAAGTCTGTCAATTAAAACGTTGGTCGAGTTGGAGCATTTTTATGTACTTAACTTGTCTACTTGCATAACAGTGCATCATATTTTAGGCTGTTGTCATATGTTTTGTTTGTAAATCTTTATTAGTAAAGTAACTAGTAACAGCGGTAAGATAAGTGTAGTAGAAAAGATTAAAATATTTCATTGTTTAATGTAGTAGAAGTAATTCACAGGTACCTCACAAAGTTCCTACTGTCAAAGGTTTCGTCATAATGATTTATTGTGTGTAAAAAGTAAATGAACCTATTTTAAATGAAATCTATATCACAAAGGACAATAAAAGTAAAGGGGTCTGAATAATGTTTAATACTGAATATGCAAACACTGCAGTAAACAATTGGCTTGTTTCCTCCCCCTCCAACTTGCATTTGCACTTCAAAATAAGTCTCAGGCTATCTGGATATAATCTGGATATTCATGGCTGTTCCGGTAACACTGCCTCCTCTGGGTCCTCACTATTGATCAGTGCCATTGCCTAAAGCTCCTCACCTAGAGGCCGTCAAGAGAGCCGATCCTTCAGGATGTGTTTTGAAAACGTTCAGTGATGTTGGGTTATAAGCGCAAGTCAACTTTTCTCAGCTGTTCATGTATCAGATGCACGTGTTTCTTGGCGGCATGGGAGCTCACTCATGGCTCAGTTGTTCTTTACATGTCAGTAAGAATAGAGCTGCCATTGTTACTTGATCAGGGCTCTACTGGGAATCTCCTTTACGATAAACACTCTACTAACACGCTTTGTTTTTGCAGTAAAGATGGCAGACCATGCCCCTTCTGTTGCCATGGAGGCCGTCCTTAAGCCCAGTTGTGACCTCCCAGAGGACATGCCCAAGATCAGAGGCTACGACTTCAACCAGGGGGTTGATCTCCAGGCGGTGCTAAAGTCCTACCTCACCACAGGCTTCCAGGCCAGCAGAATGGGCTTGGCCATTCAGGAGATCAATCACATGGTGAGAGTGATTCCTGTGTAGCATTTTGTATCTTACAAAAAACTATTTACTTATTTACCTCTGTTAGCCATGCAGATGAGATATTTTTGAGTTATTTGTCTCTGAGATTTCTTCCTCTACCCCAGTACAATTGAGCACAACGACACAAAAATACAATAACAACAAACCAGAAACATGCACCTTGCTGTAATGATTTTTTCTTTATAATTGTTCTTTTGACATTTTTGCTTTTATAGTCAGTGCAGAGAGACAGGAAATGTGGGGAGAGACAGGGGAGTGAATGTTGACCATTATTGTCTGATGACTCCACGCCCACAGATAGAGAAGCGTCTGGAGCCAGTGGAGGCAGATGAAGGAAATGAGTGTCATGAGTCTGGTGAATCCCCCCGCAAGTTAGGCTGCACCATCTTCCTGGGATACACCTCCAACCTCATCAGCTCTGGAGTCAGAGAGAGCATCCGTTACCTGGCAGAGCACAAAATGGTACAAATTTATACACTTGTCGCAATTATCCAGGTACCTTAATATGTCAGAGTTAACATCTAAAACAATCAAGCCTGGCTTGTGACTAGTTTATCAGAGTCTGTCTTACTACTGTGTTAGGTGGATGTGATTGTAACCACAGCTGGAGGCATAGAGGAGGATTTAATCAAGTGTCTGGCTCACACGTACTTGGGAGACTTCAGCCTGCCTGGCAAGGACCTCCGCCAGAGGGGCATCAACAGGTTGGTAACTGCTGATATAATACACCACGTTCACATCCTCAGAACGATGCTGATGGCTGCCATAAAGGTGGCATTTTACACCGAGCTTTAAAGAAATCGTTTGACATTTTGGGAAATACATGCATTAATTTTCTTACTGAGAGTTGGTTGAGAAGATCGATACCACTCTGGTGTCTGTATGGTAAATTTCTAGCCAGAAACCTTAGCTTAGCTCAAAGTCTGAAAACGGGGAAGAAACCTGGCTCTGCCCAAAGATAACAAAATCCAGCTACCAGCACCAAAGATCACCAATTAACATGTCATATCTCGTTTGTTAATCGTGCAAAAATTACAGATTCACAGTGTTAGGTGGGGTTATATGCTGTACTAGTTCCTGGCCACAACCAGTAACTTCCTGAAATCTCTGCTGGTTGACTGGCAACTGATCCCGGCCAAAAACAGTCCATCACAGTAATAAATAATAAAATGTGAATTGTCTTTTTTTTTTTTTAAAACTTTATTTTAAACTAGTGAAATATAACATTCTAATCACTGAGCTTTAGAGATGCCGTTAGGAGGATTTTGTTTCCTTTAGACAGAGCCAGGCAAGCTGTTTCCTCTTTTTTCCAGTCTTTGTGTCAAGCCAAGCTTACTGGCTGTAGTCATATTTACCAGACAGACATGACATCTTCTCATCTAACTCTCGGCAAAGAATGTGTCTACTCTAAGTAAGTGAATGTCAGTAGCAATACCTTTAACATCAGTCTTGGACCAGCCTTACCCTTCCCTGCTTTATTAACTGAACTATATCTCACAATAACCTAATCAGTAGCAGACAAGCAGTGTACTCAAAATGAAAGAGGACATGGTGAAGGTGTTTAGCAGGCAGATATTCGTCTTAAAAGTAGCTAGCTTATACACTGAACAAAATTATAAACGCAACACTTTTGTTTGTGCCCCCATTCATCATGAGCTGAACTCAAAGATCTAAGACTTTCTCTATGTACACAAAAGGCCTGTTTCTCTCAGATATTGTTCACAAATCTGTCCAAATCTGTGTTAGTGAGCACTTCTCCTTTGCCGAGATAATCCACCACCTCACAGGTGGCATCAAGATGCTGATCAGACAGCATGGGTATTGCACAGGTGTCCCTTAGCCTGGCCACAATAAAAGGCCACTCGAAAATGTGCAGTTCCATCACACAGCACAATGTCACAGATGTCGCAAGTTTTGAGGGAGCGTACAATTGGCATGCTGACTGCAGGAATGTCCACCAGAGCTGTTGCCTGTGAATTGAATGTTCATTTCTCTACCATAAGCCATCTCCAAAAGTCTTGACCTGACTGCCACTTCTTCGCACAGCCATTGACGACAAGTGGACCAACACTCGACAGGCCACAATCAACAACCTGATCAACTCTATGCGAAGGATGTGTTGCACTGCGTGAGCCAAATGGTGGTCACACCAGATAATGACTGATTTCCAGACCCCCCCGGACACCTCTGTTTATGTCTATCCCTATTTATGTCTGGTCCCTGTTCATCCCCTTTGTCTTACCCTCCTCCTTTGTCATTGCTGGATGTAGGATAGGGAATCTGTTGGTGCCCAATGACAACTACTGTAAGTTTGAAGACTGGTTGATGCCCATCCTGGACCAGATGTTACTGGAGCAGAACACAGAGGTGGGTCTCTCTGAGTGGTTGGGATATTGTTTGTTTTGCACCCGGCACAGTTGGAACCTGTAGTATGAAATAGCAGTACTTGTAAAGGTCAGTGTATACTTCAACGTTGAGAATACGTGCTGTTGTGAGCATTTTATTGTGCATTGGTGTCTGCAATGGCGACTGAAACTAAACAGCAGTTTCTTTTAGTAAAATTATTAAAATGCAAAAACAAGGAGGCGTTGGAGGAGATGGTGTGTATGACACTTGAACCGGTTGAGGTAGAAGAAGGACAAACCAGAAATGCAATGCTACCAAGTTGACCAATGGCAGTTCTTGCTGTCACCGCGTCGAGTAGTTACATTTCTGGGATTGTGCGCATCAAGCTACAGCGTAGGGTACGTGACAACAATGTAGATTCAATGCAGTCTGAATTGGCTTTTAGCCTGATGGGGACACAAAAAAACACGTTTTCCACAAAGTTGTGCAGTCAGGATGTTCCTAACTTGTCTTTTACAATATTCTCTACGTCATGTGATATTTGACCTTTGACCTTTCTTATATCAGGGCACACATTGGACTCCCTCCAAAATGATCCATCGTCTTGGCAAGGAGATCAATAATACAGAGTCTGTCTACTACTGGGCGTACAAGGTGAGTCCTGGTTTATATTGGGAGAGTATTACATCACAAAGGAAACAAAAGGACAAGAAACATTAAGTCGTCATTAGTGAGTTTGTGAGGGAAGTTTGTCAAAATAAGTTTAAAGTCAATTTACTTGCAACCATAGTACAAGTCATCATTTCAAAAATGTTATCCGATGTATATGGATTAAGAATGAACTGTAGTGTCTTTGGTTGGTGGGCTCATTAGCACCAGTGAAATCAGTAGACTAGAAGTTGTACTAGAAGGCAGTTGGAAACTGTTGATTGAACTTCATCCTGCTTCTTGACCTTGCTAACCCTGTTTTATTTGTATGTATTTATCAGTAAATGTGGTGTTATGTTCTGTTTCAGAATAACATTCCAGTGTTCAGTCCTGCTCTGACAGACGGCTCTCTGGGCGACATGATCTACTTCCACTCTTTTAAGAACCCTGGCCTGGTTTTGGACATAGTGGAAGGTAAAAGCAACGTAACTGCTACAGAACAGGATTGCCACAGCTGTCATCTGATGTTCATATCATGAATCCCCCCCGCCCCCAGATATTCGCAGGTTGAACGGCCAGGCGGTGTTTGCCAAAAGGACGGGAATGATCATCCTGGGAGGAGGGCTGGTCAAACATCATATAGCTAATGCTAATCTTATGGTAACTAACTTCATGGGATCTTTATTTTTTACTTCCTGTTACTCATACATGACTTATCATCAGGTTTTGTATACACTTCGGCAAAGGTTTGAGAAATGAAGGTGGCTTCAGTGGTGAAATGTACTTCATTGAAGTATTTCCATTTCATGCTACTTCATACTTATTTTGCACTACAAGTTAGATCAAGATTGTACATGCAAATACTATGATGTGTTTATAACGTAAAATGCATTGTTACTGTTCAGATAGTATATTTTTATATATATGATGTAACAGTTACAATAATCCACTTTTCAACTATAATAGTAAGTTTTACTTTACTTTACATGATAATGCTTTATTAATAAAATGAATAATAGTACAACATTTACACAGGGTCACTCACACGTTTTAATGAATAAGTACTTATTTTTTATTAACTTAAAAGTATTGGTGTCCACTCTAGATTTAGATATGCCTGTATTGGTTGTGGATAGTAATCTCTCATTATAAATGGACCTAGTTGACTGTCATACAGTAGAAGAACACAGCAGTCAGGAAAGCAAACCTCCTCAAATACAAAAACATGCAAAACCAGTTTCCTCTTATGACGCGCTGTATCTCCTTCCAGAGGAACGGAGCTGACTACGCTGTGTTTGTGAACACGGGCCAGGAATTCGATGGTTCTGACTCTGGGGCCAGACCTGATGAGGCCGTATCCTGGGGCAAGATCAGAATGGATGCCAAACCTGTTAAGGTACCGTTATTTATCCCAGCAATACCCATGACCAGTCCAAAAACTAATGTCAACATTATGTTCAATTTATCACAATTATACTCCCCGATACCCTTTTATTGAAAGTTATTGTGAGATGGCTTCCCTTCTTCTGCTTCACTGAGTTATTTCATTAACACTGATCAGCTAACATTATGACCACTGACAGGTGAAAAACACTTAATTTTCCAGTTACCATGGCACCTGTCAGTGGGTGGGATATATCAGGCAGCAAGTGAACATTTTGTCCTCAAAGTTGATGTGTTAGAAGTTGGTAGAATGGTCGGGCGTAAGGATTTGAGCAACTTTGACAAGGGCCAAATTGTGATGGCTAGACGACTGGAATAGAACATCTCCAAAACTGCAGTTCTTGTGGGGCGTTCCCGGTCTTCAGTGGTCTGTACCTAACCAAAGATGGAAAAGCGGTGAACTGGCGACAGGTTCAGGTGCAGCAAAGGCTCGTTGATGCATGTGTGGAGCGAAGGCTTGCTGATGTGGTCCGATCCAACAGACAAGTTACTGTATGTGAAATTGCTGAAAAAGTAAATGCTGGTTCTGATAGTAAGGTGTCAGAGCACAGAGTGCAACCCAGTTTGTTGCATATGGGACTGCGTAGCCACAGACCAGTGAGGGTGCCCACACATGGCACCAGGATGCACTGTGGTCCTGCCACCTACCTAAGCATTGTTGCAGACTATGTACACCCTTTCATGGAAAAGGTATTCCCTGACGGTAGCGGCCTCCTTTAGCTGGGTAATGCACCCTGCCACAAAACAAAAATGGTTCAGGAATGGTTTGAGGAACACAACAAGTTCAGGGTGTTGACTTGGCCACCAAATATCCATGATCTTACTCCAATCGAGCATCTGTGTGATGTGCTCGACTAACTTGTCTGATCCATGGAGACCTCACCACGCAACTTACTGGACTTCATGCATTATCCATGCGTGGAGGCTGAGTAATAGCTAGCTGGCCCCTTGAAGCTGGAAATTAAACAGATGTATCCCCGCTTTGTCCTCAAGGTGTCAGTGTCTGCACACTGTTTAATCCAAGGGCTGCAGCATCAACGCACCAAAACATAAATATATAAACCAGAGACTGGGTCCAGTTAAGTGGTGTGTAACAGACATACATAACAGAAAAGTGATAAACTGCTCCGTTCTTTGTTCCCAGGTGTATGCAGATGCCTCTTTAGTCTTCCCTCTGATGGTGGCAGAGACCTTCGCTCTCCACGCTGACAAGCTGACTGCCGGCAAGAAAACAGATTAAACGTTTGCCTCCTTAAATGCTCTGTTAGAAACAACAACCACCTTTGTTCCTCTAGTTCTTCCATTGCTTGACTAGGTGCAGATAGAAGTCTGATCTTCTAAACATTTCTGTTGAATATTTAATTGCAGCATAACAATATTTACTTGTTAAAACAAGTACAGTTTTTTCCCTTGCCTATTCAGACAGCTGAAATAGCATGGAGAGCATGCTATTGCATGTACCAAAGAGTCTGTCTAGTGAGCGTGTGTGTGTGTGTATGTGTGTGTGTCTGAGAGAGAAGCACACTCATGAGGTATTGTTATTTAGCCAAGAGTTTTAATTTATTTCGCTGTAGTAGTGGCTTGACACAGTCACATGACTTGAAAATGACTATTTTGCTTCACAGTTTTTATATTAACCAAACCTCTGTCCAACTTTTACAGATGTGCCTGTATAGCCTAATAAATGATAAATGAATCCTTTCTTCCTGTATTAAATGGGGTTTTAGTTACAAATAGTCTTTGTGCAGTAGGTTTGTGTGAGAGGGCCACAAGGGGTCCACTTTATTTCACATGACTGTTTGTGATCTTTGTTGTATAAAAGGATATACACATTTTTTTTGTATTACATGGCACGCAAGACCTTAGTGCTGATCTGTAATGAAAATTAATATCTAGAATATTAAATAAAGTTTAAAGCTCTTCAGTTGCATTTGAAATATGTCCAGGAACACACAAGTGAGCCACTTGTGTTGCTGTTGTCAGTGTAACAACTTGAGAGGTACACTCAGTGGCCACTTTATTAGGAACCTATACAATCTATTACAATTCAGTACAGTAGCTCTACCTAAGTGATTTTTTTATAATGTTCAGTTTTTGTTGACATTGTAGGAAATGTGTAAATTCAACTATATGTTAATTAGTGAAATCATAGCGGTGTTGCACAAAAACATTAGGCATCATAAAAGATAGAAAAATAGTTTTTATTGTGAGATCCTCACCGTCGAATCCCCCGAGGGGCTCATAAGAGCATCACAACTTATGCACGTGTGGTTAGCACTTGCTCAGAAAGTGGGACTCTCAGCTCCTTCCCTTTCTTCTGTCAGCAGAATCAACCATGCAATCTGGTAACGATGATAAAGACTTTTTCCCATCACAAAACATCAGTTTGCTATGGTGGGAGTGGATATTTCCTCTGGCTAATCACTGCTCCCATATCCTTTACACCCAGTCATATCCCAGTTATATTTACAGGCTTTGCAGTGGGTAGTTTTGGTATCAAATGTGTATATAGCATCTTTACTGAAGCCTGATTTTCTCCCTAGGGTTGTTTTAAGTGTCAGAGTGTCTTTTTTTTTTAGTGGGAATGGTGACCTTTTCTTTTTTGGAAACAGATGGAGAAGTGGAATTGGAACTGGGATAAGGTCAACTTTCCCTAAACCTCGGCCCCATGTGTCACGCACACACACACACACACACACACACACACACACACACACACACACACACACACACACTCACAAATTGGGCGTTCCTGTCTTTGTACAAACTGCTTTTCCATTCAGTCTTTCTATCATTTCCTATTGGCGGTGGCACTGTGTGAGTGTGTGTTTACCCAGGGCTTGACAGTTAAAAGATTTTTTTAAAGGGTAGTGGTGTATGGATTTTCAAGCCTATAGAAAGTTATGTTTGTTCTGTGCTTAATGGAAAGATTACAAGGAGACTGAGAGTCTCCGTTTGAGAGACTGTGTGTGCGGTGTGTGTGTTGATGAGCTGTAGTCACGCTACGATAATATTGTGTGGTGTCTGCACAGAGCAGACAGTGTTTGCCCCCTCTTCCTCTGTGGAACAATCGGTACACTGTGTGTGATGTGCAGGGCCGCAGCAGTCATAATGGCAATTATGTCTTCTCCCGGACAGATTGGCAGCTTTTTTTTATGCTGAAAACCAAAGGGCCAGACAGAGAGGGAGAAAGAAGAAGGAAAAGACGAGGGAGAGCTGACCTTCTGCACAGCTGCAGGGTGGGGTGAATCTGTGAGGAGTGGGGGGAACAGAAAGGAAATACACAGCGGATAGATTTGTGCACAGTTGCATATTTATATCAAAATCCTGTCTATGTTCCCCACACACATATTGTTTCAGGTTCATTTTTTTTCATTAAAGTCTCTGAACAGTGGCCTCATAATGTTAAACCTCCCTATTCCAGATAACAGAAGAGAAGTGCTGATAAAAATGCTGATATATTTGTCTGAGTCACCTTCGGTTAGCTCACAGCAACTTAACAAGCAGCCTTGATGACTATTGGCCCTGGGCTTTGCCTCTCAGGCTGCTTACAGTCTGCTCTCCCGTATTGGTGAAGAGCTGTGTCCAAAACCACTTCCTATTTACTATATAGTGCACTACAGGCATGTGCACTGTCAGTGATGATGAAATCTGAATAGTGCTCGCTATCGAGTGACCATTGGATAGGGAGTAGGGGAGACCTGGGGTGGTTGTAACATTTTTGACATATCTGTCTGTATCTCGGAGCTCTTTTAAGCCAGTGCGTTCAAAATGTGATACAAACTTGTTGCATGTGTCTGCTATAAAATTTTTTTATCTCTGCAACTCAGACAGAAAATGCATGGTTTAGTCTCAAACACAAGGAGTGAAATGTTACTATTCACCCCATAGTCAGGATTAGTTGTAACATATGCCAGAGTAAAATGTAACATGTAATAATTTTAAAAGCTTTTTATTTAACACGTTAATTTGTGTGTGTGTGTGTGTGTGTGTGTGTGTGTGTAAGGGTGATCCAACTGTCAGTCATAGTGGTGACATGGTAGTTAACATTATAATACAATTTAACAAAATGTGCTAATGTGCACCAACTGATTATTTGTGTGTGTGTGTTTTTGTTTGTTTGTCTTGCACCATCCTCACAGTGGTGACAGACATATGGCACTCCTGTAGTGCAGGACCTCATGGGCCCACAGAGAAGCCAACAGGTCTGGCACTAACATTTGAATGTAATAATACAACAATTAAACATTATTGTCAATGTCTGCTACAGGGTGCTACTTTTTCCCCATGTGGAATAATTTGTAAACTAAGCATGTTAAAGGTGCGTTCCATTTGTACTCGGAACTCGTTTTCCGAAGTATATTCCAAGTTCTGAGAACGAAAGTGACAAATGAGCTTTTTCTCAATACAGAGTTTGCGAAGTTTTGACTTTAAAGCTCGGGCTTGGCAAGTTCAGTACAAACTCCCAGGAACGGGCGCACGCAGTCAGTCATTCAGCAATTGGAACAGCGGACTTGATGACGGCCAGACCCGTTAGCGGGCTGGACATCACACCTCCGAAAACGTCATAGCAAATTTTCAAATCAGCTCTGTCTTGAGAAATTGACCACATATTTGGAGTTTAAACAACTATATTCTCCCATAAAAAACTTTGTGACACAATAACAGCAGTATTATAACTTACAATTGTGAATTTCCTCCCCCGAAATTTTTGCTTTTTGACGGCGAAATGCATTCTGGGATATCTAGCTATCCGAAATCCACAAGTCACCACCGATGCAGGCTCGGTAGCCTACAACGGGCAGAGCGAGAACACATCCGGGTATTTGACTGTACTTGGCTAGATGCAGACTTTTGAATTGAGTACTGAATTGAGAGTACTTGGGCTGTGACTAATGACGTTTCACAAGAACACAAGTACAGACAAGAATGCAGATTGAGAAACAGCTATGGAACGCCCCCCGATGTCGTAGTTCCTACTGATCAACTGGACAAACTCAGAGGACCCAGAGTTCCGAAAGCAAGATGGCTGCGAAGACCATCTATTGTCATTAAAAGCTGTGGTTTTGAAGTTTTTCTAGCACTTCATTTTTGTATCCAAGTTAGTAAGTCTTATACACAGTAGCCTACTGTCTTACCGTTGCCCATAGGCGTGTTGCTACGATAATGTTATGTGTGAAATACCGTGTTTATCAACTTGGCTAAGTCAGTGTTGCTAACAACAACAATGGTTGCTGTTGCTACAACAACACAGCCATCTTGTTGTCCAACCTTGTGTGGCAAACATAGACTGTATATAAGAAATGGAAGTAGACATCGTGACGTCACCCGTTGGTTTGTGGACTGCCGTTTTGGTGGCAAATGAAATACATCTGACTCAGGTTTTCCTTTTTTTTTTAACGCATATGACATCGATCCAATCCCCGAGCTCCGACTTCAGAGATATAAGTAGGTACGTGACTATCACCACCATCGCGGCTGCCGTCTTGGTTCCAACAGACGTAACTCGGGATTTTCCCTGACAACTTGCAATGTTATGAAAATAATTCCTCCTGTTGGCTTGTTTTTTGTGGAACTTCCGGGTTCTGATTGATTACACCACCAGAAAAACCATAGATACCTCCTCGTTTCAAGTCTCCGTCTTTCCCGTTGAAATACTGGCATTTTGAGCAAGTCAAAGTTTGTCGGTCAGAAAATTGTCTCGTTTTTTGCTGAAAGTGAGTAAAAACATTCTTTAAACTGTAATAGACATTTAGTTTAGTTGCTAAACTACAAGTGAACGCATTTTCAATGAATTTGAACGACGACCTTGGGAGTTTTTTTGCTTGCAGAATCTGTTTCCATTGGCTAACAACGTAAGAAGCAGCCAGCAGAGTGTGCTTTAGCTGTGCTGCAGGGTCACATCTTTTGCTTTGACTTCAGTGGAAAACAGAGGACAAAATAAAGTGACTACTTTTGGCTGTCAAATGACCAGTGTTGTGCGATTATTGAACCTATAAACATGGTCTTGGTATCATTTTAAAGGATATTTCAAGCTCTTTCTATCTGTACAATTTGTTTTAGCATTTAACCATGTTGAAAATTTTGTTCACATAGCTAATATAAGCAGTAGCAGAAGAGTGAATCAGGTGATTGGTAACTTGTTCCTGATTTGAGAAACTGGACGTGTTACAACTGACCCCTGTTACAACCATCCCCGGTCTCCCCTAGTGAATGATTGAACAAGGGGGCGATTTGACAGACACAGCCAAGTTTGTTGTTTGTTAGCTGTTATGCAGCCTTAACGGAAAACCTGCAGACACTGCTCAGGGAGAATTAAAGCAGGCTAGTGCAAACCTTTTTAAGGGTACAAAAAAAAAGTAGACCTAATTCATATTTTCAGTTAATATTCTCCTTAAAATACGCTAAAATTAAACCTCGGTAATAAGACAACCCCAATGCGTTTTTGTAGTAAAAATATCATCTTTCATCATCAATTTGAGAGTATCAGGCATCCTACCTGCTAACCCCCGTATGTATTGAGCCTAATCTAACCCGTTGCATCGTCCTCCTCCTTATCTCCACCTGTGTTTACCTGTTATGTTACCATAGGAACTCCCACCTCTTTAGTGGCAGGTGAGGGAGTGTAAAGTGCGTGGGTGTAAAGGAGGGAGGAATAGAGACATTTACAGGGCGAGGAGGGGCCGATGGTGAAAGAAAGATAAACATTCAGATATAGAAGGCGCACAATAAAGCAATAAATGTATAGAAGGCAGGCGAAGACGTTGACAAATGGAGGAGAAAAAGACCAGTGATAAAGGTGCGTTTTGTTACTTTCTCAGAAACAGGAAGTTGTCAGTTGAACCGCCGCCTCCTCTTCTGACGCAGCTGGCTGAGGATGATGACGGCCGTATGCCAGGGTTGCTATATTAACCACGCAGCAAGGACAAACATCCGGCAACAGCTAACTGCGGTGTCACTGTTTTACATCAAATTTGTTATATCCTAATCATAGCTTAACCACTATCACTGGTCACCCTGGTGACTGTGAAACAAAGAGGATGCACGGTGACAGGTTTACCCTTTACCTTTCTGACTGTAAACCCTCTGCAGTCCATATTCACCTCTACATACAGTGAATATATTATTATTTACAGTCACATAACTACAGGTCTATATAACGTAGAGACAAGCTGAGAAGAAAGTAAGTGGTGATGTGGGGTTTTCACACAGCAGGCTGATTTGTCTGTAGACCATGAAACATGTTTCGGGGTTATTATGTTCAGTGTTTTACAGTGAGACTTTAAATCAAAAAGGCACACAAACGAGTTGGGTGAAATAACTTTGCATGTAAATATGGGTTACTGTAGATTTATTTATTTATTTATGTAGTAAACATCGAGTTTCCCCTTGCGGGATTAAATAAAGTATATCTTCTATCTTATTCTTCTTCTATTTCTGTATTTGTGAGTAGGCTAAAATTCTGAAACAATGCTTTTTTTTTTTTTTTTTTACAAAGTAGAACTGTCCTACAATAATAATTTGAGTGATAATGATTTAAGATTTATTCACCTCTACATACAGTGAATATATTATTATTTACAGTCACATAACTACAGGTCTATATAACGTAGAGACAAGCTGAGAAGGAAGTAAGTGGTGATGTGGGGTTTTCACACAGCAGACTGATTTGTCTGTAGACCATGAAACATGTTTCGGGATTATTATGTTCAGTGTTTTACAGTGAGACTTTAAATCAAAAAGGCACACAAACGAGCTGGGTGAAATAACTTTGCATGTAAATATGGGTTACTGTAGTTTTATTTATTTATTTATTTATGTAGTAAACATTGAGTTTCCCCTTGTGGGATTAAATAAAGTATATCTTCTATCTTATTCTTCTTCTATTTCTGTATTTGTGAGTAGGCTATAAATTCTGAAACAATGCTTTTTTTTTTTTTTTTTTACAAAGTAGAACTGTCCTACAATAATAATTTGAGTGATAATGATTTAAGATTTGTCAACTTTTATAGATGCCTGTTTAATTTTGTCATGTAGGCTGTTTTATCTTCCTGTCCTGCTTTGTTAAATTGACAAAATCAGAAGTCAGGCTAGGGTAAGGACAGTTTAAAAGTGTTCCACTCCAATGTACAGAAAGTGTGACCTGTCACATGACGTTGTGGTGCAGCTTAAAGATTAAACTAATGTCAGAGGAGGTAAAGTAATGATAGCAATTTTTTCATATCTCTTGTGGGTTCGCTGTAAAGGAAATGATGCTCCTGTTACAAAGATACAGATTTCAAGCAATGAGGTAAGCATGCTAGCAACATGGACGCCCTGCACACTCCAGTACATTTATTTAAAGTTAAAGTCACTATGTGAGAAATAAAGATACCATATCAAAACATTAAGCAAAAATTACAAAATATGATTTTAAAGATTTTTAATTACTTTCATTTTACCTTTAATATTGAAGTGAAGCATTATTTTTGTAGACATTGATTTGTATTTTTGAATTATTTCTGTAATTTGAATGAATGTCAGTCTTTTATCAATGGATGAGAAAAATTAGTGTGCAGCTTACCTCTCTAGAATAGGTGTGCATTGTCTGTTTTTTATTGACAGTAACATGGTATCATGAAACTTGATAACAATCTTTCAGTTTCATGATTTTTTTTTTCTCCATAGTCAACATTTCAGCAAAACCTTCAGATATGCAAATGTGTGGAATAAAGTGTGAGACAGTGCAGACTTCATAAGAGACGGTAAGGTAATGCTGCATAACTACCGTGACCTAACCAAAGCAACGCATCATAAAATTTGATTTTGATGAATCATAGATTTAGGTTGAGAATAGGCAACCAGGTGCCATGAGAGTATGGAGACTTTCATTCCAGCCGATGACAAAAGTCAGCGTATTACACTGATGAACACAAGCGAGGGGAGGTACTACGGTTTGTCAGGGAAATCTCTTGGTGTTCTCTCTGTTTGGAATGAAAACTGGCATTTGATTTTCTGTTCCTGACTGAATCCAAGAGGAGAAGAAAAAAGTGATGGAGAAAGGTAAAGGACGAAAAGGAATATTTATACTTTTTCAGTGTTGTCTTAGTGATGTAAGAATTATCATATAATTGAAGGCATGGTTGAAAAAACACAAGAGACATATACTGTTTTTCAAAAAGCTTTAATGTTGTTGAAAACACACACAGTAATATCAACTTTATATTTATTTTATACATTTTGGTTTTAAAAGCAAAGGCACATTTGAAGAAATCTCTGGCCCTCATGTATTTAATTTTTTTTTTTTTTTACAAACATGGTGTCAACAACACAATAATAGACACAATAAACAAAAACGACACAAAGCCATTTTGAATTTAAATCATCAAAAACTCAAAAGCAAAACTTACAGCAGATCTTCTGGAAAAATATTTTATTACAAATGGTACACATTTCAAAGTCTAATTAAATTTAAATTTTCACATGAATTATATAGTTTAAATGGTTTCATGAAAATTGTATATTTTAATGGTGCATAATATGAGACAGAAGACATAAATCCAAGTAAAGTGTTTCATTACAGAATGTACAAAAATGTTGCAGCTAGGAATTCAGCGAGACAAATCACTGTTTAACACAAAAACTGACTTTAACAATGTTGTCAGTTATTTCAAAATAGATTTATTTAAAAATGCATGTACACATCCAGACTAAAAGGCGACATAACAGGCTACAGTTATTATAGTGGTATTAAAGTGCACAGTGTGTGTGTGTGTGTGTGTGTGTGTGTACTGTGTGTGTGGAAATGAGACCAGTCCCCTGTTCCTGCTGAACTGAGCCAGCCAACGTCACACACTGATTATCAGCACAGCAGGCACAGGAGACCGACCCAGCAGGGGGACAGACAGACACACACACACACATATACAGGAAAGTCAGACAATACACACACACAAGTCAAACAAACAGACACTGACGCTCATGCAGAAATCAACAAGTGGAAGAAAAAAGAAAATATGAATGCAAAGTCCCACACTTGCTACCCCCTGAGAGACAATGATAGCCGGTGATACAAATGATGGTATAAGGTGACGTACTCCTTGCCCTACAAGAACAGGTGCAGCCCTCAACACTAACAAGACAGTTGACATTTAACAGACACTGACACTGAAGCCATACAATTTCAGCTAATTCAACAGATTACTAGTAATTACCATAAGCCTATAAACCGTGATACCTGCTTCCATACACCCATCTTGGCCACATTTTTAGTTTCACGACTCAAAAATGAGTCATCCGTGAACCACAAACGGACTCGACCTAACACATTGTCACGGTAGAAGTGATTAGGTGTGAGTCTCAAGTATGGTGGGACCATAAAAAGAAGGTCCAAGAATCAGTCTAGCAAATGAGAAGCACGTTTTTGCCTCTTTATTGACATCAGGCTGTTTTAAAAAGAGAGTGCTTTTTTATAGTGTTCACATGTTAAATGTCACTGAGCTACACTGTAGTCAAGTTTCCAATTGAATTGAGTACAGATTTTTACCCAATTTCCAGAAAATCTGCAAAAGAAAATGCACTTTTATGCGTGTTTCCATCTACTAAACAAATATTAGGATTTGGGCAGTCGTGGCATTAATTGTCCAGTCAGGAAAATGTGGCATTTGTGTTTGTTGCATGTGATTTGAGGACGGTTACAGTCTCCTCATTGAAAGTTAAAATGCTCATAAAAAACAGGTGGATGGAAACCCACTTTATATATAAAGAGTTTAGTTAGAATTTTAGAGGATGCAAAATGGCTCTATTCAGCAGAGGTGAGCAGGTTTTTGCAGGAGATGCTATCATGCTCGTCAGAAGTCTGATGTTGATGTGAAGAGCAGTGGTTTGAAGCAGTGCGGCCCCTCCCTGACCTTTACTCTCCCCCTGCAGGCTGCAGCCCTGTGGCGGCAGAACTTAACCACTGTGAACATAGCAGACACTCACTGTTCACATGTGGGTTAAGTCCTGCTGCCGCACAGCCAGGTCATACGAACGTCTGTTCGTGACAGGGAAAGAGATGGGTGTGTTTGTGTGCGAGTATGCAAATTAGAAACATGGGCGTGACTGTGTGTGAGTTAGCAAATTAGTGTTTGTGTGTGTGTCTGCGTTTGTGAGAAAAAGAACTTGCTTTCTTCATGTCAGCCATTGGAAATCCCTGGCAATGTGATTCAGTCCTGTAGTCTCAAAAATCACTCTGCCAGGAATTCCCCTGGCCAACAGAGACTATACAGTTTGTGGTGAGAGGGAGACTTCAAAGCATGCAAAACAAAACAAATAAACACCATAATAGGCCTCCTTAATCACTGTCACCTCTAAAAGGCTACCGACTGCTGCCATCTTATTGTTGCCCGTTACCTCTATCCCACATCTATACCTCTGTGTGAGAGACTGAATTATCACAGTAATCCAATGAGCTACATCTTTGTCATTCACAGGTCACAGTCACTGTGCCTTCTCAGCACTGTGTGTCCTGTATGTGCATGGTTCTTGTCAACTCCCAGACTTCCCGTGGCCTCTTATAAAAATAGCTTTTCGATGACAGAATGGAGAATTAGGTTAGAAGGAAGTGGCCAGTCAAGTGGTACTCCCTTTAAAGACGTTTGTTCCGCTCTGTTCCACTTCTGCCGCTTTATCTGTGCCTTGTGTGGAAACAAACAAACAAACAAAAAAAAGGGCAGGAGAGCACTGGGCTGTGTTTCCTCTGCTGCTAAGTTACTGCTAAACCTCTTCAGAAATTGTCAGGAATTTTCATGTTGTGTCAAGAAACTGATACTGTATTTACATGTTCTTGCTTCTCATTACTGTCTGTCAAATGATATCTGATAATGTTTCATGTGACCTAAGAAGGACAAGCACATACACTCATTACAACTGGAGCAGAACTTATTACTCTGAATTCCTTTTTGTTGAATTTTACTTGTTTGGATAGGACATATTTAAATAACTGAATGCCAGTCCACGCTCCAGATCCACGCTGATTGCTTTTTCTTGCCATCCTCCTGAAGTCTCTTTATTTTCAGCAGCATAAATATTCCACCATGTACAAGGTATGAGTCAGTGGGACACTTTTGGGGAACTCCCGACTCTAAATAAGTTTAGCCGTCTGTCTGTTGTCAGTGTGGGCCTGCTGGAGAGCTTTGCCAGGGACACAGTGAACTCACTAACGCTGTATCATTGTTGTCACAAATCGGCTGCAGCCATGTCTGGTTTGAGAGTTTGGAAAGAGATTCCCAAAGTAGCGCTAAATTATTCATATTATTTAAGAAAGTTGAATACTTTTAATGCTACTCAACCAAGCCATTTGTATTCCAGCCTTAAAGCAAATCTTAAAATCAGCCTTGAACCTGACACAAAAGGAAAACCCTGTTTCATGTGCAGATGCTTTCTAGTTTCCTTCAGGCCAATGTTCTTTCTCTCAGTCTGTGGTCCAATCAACCAATAACACCAAATTATAACCGCACAAAGCACACTATGATTTTGGTGCAACTGGGAACCGTTGTTTTTTCCCCTGTCTGCTATCTTTTATGAATAATTACAGTACGGAGGGGCATTTTTGAGGCCCCAGCTAGATTAGTGTAATCTTAGAGCTATCAGAGGTATTATTTTCAAAAGAGGTTTTTTTTTGTCACTCAGTTCATTGAAAACTAAAATATCTACATAAAAATGAATCTTGACATATTTTGTGTTGGATTTTAGTTGTAAGCGTCTCCTTAATTTCAGTTTTGTTTTATGAGACGTGCATTATATATCCCTTGGCCTCCACATGGTCACAATAAGACGTCTCAAGAAAGTAGGCCGCTTAAGGTCCCAGCACCCATCAAAGACGGTGTGCTAACTCCTCTTTAACTCCTCTCCTTCATCAACCTAAAGCCCTCTAGCCCGCCATCCTTTCATCTGGCAGTGGTTCATCTCATGTGTTATTTTCTCTGCCTTTTCATCTTTTCCATCGGTTTCTCTCTTACCCTTTGCGTTCCCCCCGTCGAACCCGCAGCCATTAATGTCTATGAGCTCATTTCTTCCCTTCCCCTGTAATGACGGCATTCTGGTTGACGCACGCTGTCCAACACCTCACCTCAAACGCTCGCTGTGAGGATCTCAACATGTCTCCCTTTTAGCATTTGGCCTGTCTTGTTTTTTCAAGTCCTACAGCGGAGCCAGGCAATCCTGTTGTTACACACTACTCAAATTGGGTGTTTATTCTGGTTAGGAATAATCATAAGGTTCTGCCATGTGGGCTGCAACTTGTTGGCAGCTCATAATTGTGCCAACGTGTTGCATCCTGATGGAGACGTAGAATAACAAAATGTGTATCGCTGAATGTCAATCGCCAGCAGATGCACCCTAAAGTCAAAATGTTTTTAGAGAGTGTCTTCATGGATTACGGCCTTATGTGTGGGAGCTTTGATGGTTTTAGGGTTTGCACTTTATGCGAAGTGTGTGTTCTACCAAGTTTATATTCACGCACACGACGTATGGAGGTCCAAGTGTAGACGTGGCCACTGGATATTTTCTCAGAGTGTCTCTCCCCTTCAGCAAGTATTCAGAATTGACATTGACGTTTACACAAGGGCACACAGTTAAGTGGAAAAGCCTCTGTTGAGACAGCTGGATCTCAACCCCTTGTTGTTTCAACACATATCTTCTCTCTGTCTCTCTCTATGCCCTTGGACGCACGCGCACACACATACACACACACACACACACGTACACACACACACACAGATGCACTAAGAAATGTATATGCTTGTATGCCATACACAATCTGCCTCTCTGCACATAATATGCTCGCTATCAATAAACACACAGTTATGTCACTGGGCTGCCGGGCAAACATGGCATGTGCGTTAGCTTGGTTCTCACCCTGTCTCAGCAGGAATACTACAAATACACACCAATCTGACATCATTCACACTTCTGGTGAACTGCTTCACAGAGCATACAGTGAGCCGGGCCACCTACAGACCGGCTGCGTCCTGCCATTGTGCAGTTCAAACTGAAGCAAATGTCATTTTTTATCTTTCCATTGCATCAGAGGATTTTACAGACGGCGGTTTGTTTCCAACCACGGCTTCATGTGAAATCGATATGTCTAACATCCATTAGTTCAAGACATTATGTCAACATTTGAGCACAAGGGTTACAATAAGGTATGAATTCCCTTCTTAAAGTATAAATATGCCACATTTGCTTCTCATAATTGCTGTCGTATCCATTACACCTTGCCATGATAAGGCAGAGTGTGGCTTACAGAGTAAGACAACGTGGAAAAGTAACTGTAGGTGGAGAGATGAGCCTAGCGAGGAAAGATGCCTGACACAGCAGAAACTGTGGCAGCATTTCTTCTTCAGTTCACGTGACATTCCATTTTTTTCCAAAGTTTTCAGTTTTTGATCTGTGCAATTACAAACTCAGTAGCAGAACAACCTAACTTTCAAAGGCCTAGGCCTCTAAAATCTGTTGGGTGGATGCTAGTTCTGCCCAGCCACTTTCCTTAACCCTACCATAAGATCTGCAAAGCTGTCAAAAAACTGAAAATGCAGAACACATCCCACTGATCAGATACCTCTTTAGTAGATCTTTGAACCCACGCACCTTATGCAGTACCACACCCTGGCTCTAACAGACAGACTATGTTTGTGTCTGCATATGTGTGCGTGTGTGAGTAAGATTGTATTTGCTTCGCGTGAGGGCGTAATTATTGCTGAGGCCGTGACATTCACTGACATTCAAGCAAGGACTATGCACTACTATGGGCCTTCTCTGTTGCAGTTTTCCTGAATCAAAGGGGAACGTTCATTGGCTGGCCTGGAATCAATGGAACGCACCACATGTGGGACATTAGTCTGAGAATGAAAAAGTATTTCCAGCTCCAGATTTACAAAAAAAAAAAAAGAAGTGAAAAGCTCGGTCTCTTCGGGCTGTAAAGCTAGCCTCAGCAGTGAAGAGCCCAGCCCAAACCCACGGTCCGCTCCCTGTAGCCCAATGCGTGTAACCCTATCCTCAGCCTGATTCTTTGCCAAACACCCTTACCACTACCAGCCCTGTACTTAGTGTACAGCCGCCCTGCTGCCACTGAGCCACACATGCACAAATGTATGCAGAAACTCCACACACACACACACACACACACACACACACACACTTTTATTCCACTACGCCACGGTTTCCTGAGCCTGGGCCCATTCCTACTGATTTCTGCCGGGCACACCCACCCACCCACCAGCCACCCCACCAAAGTAAAGGCTGGATCCCCACCTTCTCTCCTCCTCCTATTCCCTCTTTCCTCCACCTAATCCTCTATCCATTCAACCATTTGGCCTTCCCTGTCAGGTTTTCCAATCTAATGATTCCTCAGTGTAAAAGGCAGAATAACAACACCTCTCTCTCCCCTTTTTCCCATGTCTTTTGATGCAGAGGTTATCTTAAGTCACAGTCAGTCGCATAAAGAGCAAAGCAACAGATCCCTCCCGTGGTGCTAAATTAACAAATTCTTATCTTGTCCTCTGTGCTTCAGCGTCATTTTTGCTTTCCTCTGCCCAATTTGGTCTATACCAACATCCCCAGAGGGGAATCAGACTGGACGGCGAGCAGGAAGACAGACAACCGCCTCTGAAATGAGTTAGCTACAGTAGCTGCTGGATTCCCTTCCTTTCATGGAGGTTTGGGAGCACACAGACTTACAGGGCCTCTGAACAATGAGAGGAATGTTTGAACGGCTCCGGCCTTGCTACACCACTACCATTACGTCTCTCGGCTGCTTGTCTAGAACTTTTTATGACCCCTATTCCCACTCTGTGCTGCCAGCAGCACCCTGCGACAGACGACTGACAGACTGATAGACTGATAGATGACACACAAGGGTAGATGGATGACATACTGTAAGCAGACAGTTGGAAAGGAAGGCAGACAAACAGGTAGAGGCAAAGCAGTTATGCAGTAATTCATTGAGGAGTGGAAATATAATTCCTAAATCAAACACACAGACAGGCAGGCAGAAAGACAGACAGAAATTAAGCCATCCCATTCAAAGGAACTATTTACGTCTGACCTTTGTAATAGAGCCGGTCCACAGTGGCAGACCTCAGATCAAGGCAATATTCCAGTGGCAATATTACAGCACATTTGAACAGCAGGCACGCTTTACAGTCGTTCTATGTGAATGTCTGTCCTGATCAACAGGTTGCAGGAATTGCGGTGAAGTGAGTGTGAAGTGCCTCTCTGTGAAAGACCAGTGGTTCAAGACAAAAAATACAAAGTCAAAGAAAAGCATAGGTTTGTCAGGTCATAAAGTCATAAAACAGTAAAAATGCAACAATCAACTTCTGAGAAGAGGCAGATGCGATGCTCCACCTACCTGAGACAGCAGTTTTTTACTCCTTTCCTCTTTCTCAATCTCAATCTCACTTTCCTCAAGCTCTCCAGTGTCACACTCGATGTTGAGCTTCACAGTTGTCGTCCCCCTCCCTTCTTTGTCAATCCCTCTTTCTCTCCCCCTCAGTGTTTCTCTGTGTCTCTCACTCTTCATCTCTCTCTCTCTGGGTCTGTTTCTCCTTTGACTGTGCAGACAGGAGTGTTTGTGGACGGGAGTGTGACTGGGAGCCAGACAGGGTGAGAGTAAGAGAGTGGGCGGGTCCGGCCCAGTGCAGGGGATTCCTTTATGACGATGTCAGAGGAGAGGAGCCCGCCCCTTCCTCATTTCTTCTCTACTTCTCTCCCCTCTCCTCCCCTCTCCTCCCTCTCCTCCCCTGTGCGTGGCCCAGGCTGCTGCTAGAACACAGGAAAGGGGGCAGGGAGATAATTGGCCGCGCAGCTGCTAATAAATGAGCAAAGGCTGTTTGAGTCAATAGACAGGAGTGAGCAAAATTTGCAGGGTTTCAGTGGACAGATATACTAAAATAGTATGTTACACTGCCTGGTATGTTAAAAGTGTTCTGTAGAGAGTTGCAAAATGTTTTAATCACCCCTCCCAGCAGATAGTGATCATTTTTCTGTGTCTGATAACTATCAGAGTGAACTAAAGAGACCATCTAATAGAAGTTGTTTAAATCATACTTTCAGTCAGAACACACTTTCATTACTATTTTACCATTTTGTTTTGAGCTTTTTGTAAAGCTCTTTGCCTTTATCCAAGAATAAACATTTATCTGTGCACATGTGGATGATTTTAATTTCTATAGCAGTTCTAAAAAGCCAAAGCATATTTCAAAGAATTGAATAGAGAAAGTAATCCCTAACTGCACATAGGAAATATAAAACCAATAATGTTAACAAGGCCAGAAACAAAAATAGAAAGTTGTTGAAGTCTCTAAATTGATCATGACGAAGTGATTTGAAAGATGTCATATGTTAAGCTGAAGTCAAATAAAAGCTGTAAACCTTGCTTTGAATCAAAATGTGTGTACAGCCAAAACGAAGCTGATGATTTGACACTACACTCATACACTTCCAATGCCGAAATTGTGTTTGTTGAAGTCGTAACCTTATCAATTCTGAATGTTTATGCTAAGGTTGGTGTGAAGTGGTCTATCTCATTTTGTTTTGGTGAAACTTGAAGCTGCCTTTTTTATGCTGAGAGAGGGACTTTAACTGGGGCAGGGGTGCAGGGTTACAGTAATCTAAGCAAAAAGAGACAAAGCACGGCAGGTTTTTCCACATCACTTAAAACTAGACACTATCTCAACATGGAAATCATTTTCAGAATGTAATAGATCTATGGGTACCTGATTAAAGCTTAAAAGTGTAAATTTGAGTGTGCTACAGTTAGTGTGACGCTTTTTGTGGTGACATCAATGTTTCTGTTATAGCAAGAGAAAGTCTGCTTACCTGTATTTTACATACACATAATAGCAATCATCAATACTGATTCAAAAGTAATGGAGGTTTTAATGATTGCTCATAGTCTTTGGAACTTCAGATCTGGTTTATGCTGTTGTATTTGTGTGATTGTACGTCTGGTGTTTGTGTCCAAGCTTGGATGGATCTGCACCTGTCAAGCATAGGACCCAACACCACCCCGCCTTACACACACACACACACACACACACACACACACACACACACACACACACACACACACACACACACACAGGGAGACAGTAACACAAGCTTAGAGAGGGGCTATTAGAGGCTTTATGACTTCCCCTTCTTCCCCCGCAGCCTTTGGGTGTGTGTGTGAGCGGCGAAGTCCTGGACAGACAACCACGCCCCTGTGAGAGAGCGGACGTCACACATTCCACACACACACGTACACACACATACATACACACTTGCGCGTCTCTTAGCAACACATACACTCTAGCTTAGTGAAATAACTATGCCAGTAAGACACATGACCGCGACACGTCGTTTATCTTCGGCTGGGATAATGTTTTGTTTATGGACCTCAGTTTCTAAGTTGTCTTCATAGGGGATTTACAACTTTGCATAACAGCCAGAGTTGAATGAAGTGTAATGAATACTTTAACTTTTTGATTGGTAGCAAAGATGACTTGTGGTATGATTGAACTTGGTTATGATAGAGTGAGAGTACATTTCTCTGTACCCGCTCTGTCTCCTTGTTTTTCTTTCTTTTAATGTGTATATGTGTGGATCTATTTTACTGCATGAATTCTGACTTTGTGTGTTCACATCATGTAAAAGGTCATTTGACACAATAGTCAAATGAGCTGAATAGTCTTTAGACAGGGTTGTGTATGTGGTAAACTTGTCTCTGGTAAAAAAAAAAAAAAACACAGTTTCGATCCCTATTCTGTGGCCTAAACCTCGATGCGTGCCGTGCACACTCCCCTCTCATTTTGCCTCACAGAGATGACAATTAGCATAGCCGCATGCAACACCAGTACTGTAATAACTAAGATGAAAAAAAGATGCTTTCAAAAGCTACTCATTACAAGAAGACTTCAGACCAATGACAGTTCTGGATGCCTTGGTGATATATGATCCAAATAAACTTGCTATGAAACAGTATTCATCAGTATGCCATCTTGCTAGTTTGTTCACCAATACCAATTTATTGAGAGCAAACTCTGGTGCGCAATGTTCTGTAATCATTCGTGCTATCAGTGAGGGTAGTAATATTTGGAAAATGGTGTTGAAAGATTCTTATTCTTCTCCCCCCCCCCCCCCCATGCTACATATTCTTTATGGTTCTGTGGAACATTATCAACTCGTTGTAAAGTGTAGTGTAAGCATGCTTGTAAACGTTCCCCGTGTGTGTGTGTGTGTGTGTGTGTGCGCGCGTGTCTGTGTTTCGACTGACGAGTCACTTTTCAAAAGATAGCAGTGGCAGGTGTAACCATAGTAATGTGTGTATATTTGAATTTGTGTAAATATGTGTACAGTATCTTTGTGCATTTGTACAATAAGGAAGAAATTTGTTGTAGCGTTGACTTCTAAAATCACTGCAGACTGCAGATTATGACCTCCAGTGGGTGAATTTGCGGAAGTCATCTTTAGTGAATAGTTCATTGAGAAATGTGCTCTATAGTATGTTCTGCTCTAGTGTTTCACCTCAGAGGTCAGCATACAGACCTTTATATGTGTGTGTGTGTGTGTGTGTGTGTATATATGCATATGTACACAGAACATTTCAGAACATGTTTTTCTGTGTTTGATCTTATGCTTTACTTACTTATTTTTGCATGTATTTAAGTGCATACATACAGTATATCTGTAAAATGCGTCTTTATTTAACTTAATTGTACTGTATGTGTGTGTGTGTATGTGTGTGTGGGGTTGGGGGAGTTTGTGTGTGTGCATGTTTAGATTTGTGTGTGTCAACTGACCATAGACAGTGAGTCAGACGACAGTAAGCGACTCTAATTGGGGCCACAGGGTCTGGGAGTAAAAAACTAAACTTCCATTTGGTTGTCATGGTGAGTCAGATCCACTTATGTAACAAGCAGTGGAAAATGGTTTTGGAGAAAGAAAGAAATGCAAGAGAACGAGTGAAAGAGCTGCTCTCGGCGCCAGCTGATCTGTTAGGTATCAGTGTTACTCTTATTTAACCAGACACTGTGGGTAAGGACACATTAGCAGTAACAGTTTCTGTAGGGTGAGCGGGAAATATACTCACACACACACACACACACACACACACACACACACAACTTTACAAGTAAAAGTTCACTAACTGGATGCAAGATCTCATTCAGCATTAATTTTGTTGGCCTTTCTGAAAAAAATGAGCATGTTTCTGGGGTTCACTTTCCGTATTATAAGACAAAACAGCATTCGCTACTGCAATTGCTACTAGTAGTTTAACAAAGGCAAACAACAATTATAATTGACCAGTGTAGCAGGGCGAGTACTTACATCATTGTAACTTGGTTTTGGATTATGGGCATTGGTGTTCATTAAAGGCAGCTAAAAACTGAACTTTTGAATAAATGACAATATAAGATTGTTTTATCATCCTGTTCTAGACATAGAGAGCAGTACATGACACACTACTGTTTAGAAAGGCTCTCTGTTACATGGCTGGATTTGCTGTATAAAAATGTCACTGGGATTTTGAAGGTTTACTTACTCCTGGATCAGAAACTGGAAGTTAGCTTTGGCTGTCTATAGAAGTACACACTAGGGTTTCCCATAATAGATAAACATTGATTTTATAGATATACAGCTCACTGTAAAACGTAACTTTCATTTGATGCACTGCATTTTTGGGGGGATCTGGTCAATTCCGGTTTTACCTCTGCTCTAAATAAAGAGAAGGTAAGTATCTTGAGTAGGGGTATTAGAGTTGCTGGAGAGGACTGAACCAGCAACCTGTCAACTAGTAGGTGGCCTCCCGAATCAACCTGTCAATCCTTCATCCCTCTCCTCCTCCTCCTCAGCACCACATTGAATTAGCAGCCTCGGGCACTTTCCCCCATTCCCGGGCCTCCTTTCCCCTTTCCAGCCCTGACCCAGCCATGGGACATTTGAGGTCATAACTTTTCTACACCTCATCCACGCTGGACCAGTTCTGGTCCAGAACTCGGTCATAAAGTCCGCCCAAAGACCAGCACGTCTTCACTGAGCTCAAACTAGCCAGCTAAGAGGCCCTGAATGAATCCACTTGACTTTGACTGGTCTGTCCTTATTTTCTCTTTCCTGTGCTCTCTCCCTCTCTCTCTGCCTCTCTCTGGTATTTATGTGTTGGCAGTTGCCGTGGAGACAAGACACACAAACACTGTGGCGGTAGACAGGAAGTGCTGCGGAACCACAATGGCGTCACTGCGGCTCTGCACTCACTCTCCCCTCTCTCTCTCTCTCTCTCTCTCTCTCTCTGACTGCCCCAGCCAGCATGCACGCTATTATCCTTAGCAAGCTAAATGGAGACCACACTGTTCTCTCTTTCTCTCTGTTCTCTCATTTCTCTCATTATTATTATTAGCATTGCTTTTTCAGCTGTCTCTCTCTCTTTCTCGTTTTCAACTCAGCTGCTTTAGTATTTGGAAAATTGCTGTCTGATTTGCGGTGTCTGGAATGCCTGGTTAGTTGAAGTGCTGAAAAGCTGCTGGGCACCGGCAGTTTTAAGTGTCCGACCTGTCTACAGGGCGTTCACTCTGGAGAAGCT